TTCATCTCTGGGATTTAGTTTCAAAATCGCTTTAAGGAAAGAGTGTGGTCAGTATAACACACATAAACACACACTTGCAGTTTTGGTCAAACGCAGACACACACACACACACACACAGACACACGCACGCACACTTTTGTTTACTCAGCTCTGTTATTTTCCTGTCAGACAAAGAGTTATAAATGTTATCTGGAATCCAGTGTGTGTGTGTGTGTGTGTGTGTGTGTGTGTGTGTGTGTGTGTCTGTGTGTGTCTGTGTGTGTGTACTTGTACTTTACTTCTATGTGAGGACCATTATGAGCACGATTTAGCCGGCCCTCACTTTTTCAAATGGCCATTAAAGGGTAAAGACTTGCTATTATTGTTAGTGTTTTAACTAGATGTAAGTTAGGGGTCAGGGTCAGGGTTAAGGCCAAGCATTTAGTTGTGATGGTTAAAGTTACAATAAGGGTCTAGGGAATGCATTATTCGGATAAGTGTCCTCACTAAGGTAGAAGTGAATAAAATGTGTGCACATGAGTGTTTGTGTGTGTCTGGTCTCTTTTATCGTCCTCATGCAATTCTGAAAACCTTCATGAATATACCATTAACAAAACAACAAAACAAGGAAAAGCTTTTATTTCAGTCAAACATTCATGTCAACAGGTCATCACACACACACACACACACACACACACACACACACACACACACACACACAGACCTGTTTCCTGTATTACTGTCTGTAGATAAATGTTGCTGGATGTTTCAGTAAACAGCTTGGAGCAGCGGAACAACACACACACACACACACACACACACACACACACGGGTCAGTTGTGCAGATGTGCTGCTGCTCAATCAGTAGTTTAATCACAGAGGTTAGAGTTTAATGAGTTATTATTACTGAACCCTAAATCACACAAACATATGGCTGCCCAGCCAATACACACATGGTGTGTGTGTACTGTAAATGTGTCCTAGAGCAGCAAATGCATCAGATGACAAATAGCTCTGTAGAACTGTATTACGTGGCTTTCTTAACCATTTCCAGGTCTTGAAATGTGCTTTCGAGGAGATGGACGAGAGAGACATGCTCGGGTCGGTTCAGGAAGAATCACATAGAAGTGGTATCAAGTGATGCAAGTGATTTTGGTTTTACTACTTTCCCAAAAGTTGTGTTTTCACCTCTGTACCTTGGTTGGTATGTTTCTTTGTTTTCCTGGTAGAAGGGTGGGATACAGATGAAGAAAGAATTTTGGCCCAGAAATTGTTTTATATCACTGTCTTTAATATTTTGGGGGAAATGTTCACAAATCTTCCCCAGGAATTAATAAATCATGCATCTTAATTAAAAAAAAAATACATAGAGGACTGATATCTAGGAGTTTGTACAGCTTGTTTTCCACAACATTTTGAATCTTGATAAAGTCTCACTTTCTTTAACCCGGTGAGAAAGGCCACTCCTTGGAGTAGTTGTTCACTCTCTGACCTTCTAGTCTATGAAGGTTTTCAGATTGAGTCTGCTTCTACCACAACACAATTAGGTCAATTAGATTATTAGTGCCATGCCCAAAATTTCACTTTAAATGCAATAGAAATCTGTCTTCCCAGCAGCGAATAGAAGTGTTGTCCACAGAACGATTTCCCCACTGTGGGACTAATGAAGGATTATCTTATCGTATCTTAAGATCGATGGGCTATCCAGGTTTACTCAGAAAGAATGAATGAAAGGATTAGGGTTAGGGTCTTTCTCTGTACACCGTTTTAACTCATACCACACTGTAAAAGATGATTAAGGTAGGTTTACTTTCACCATTTTTTAAAGAGTGAGACACACTTTAAGGGTATCACTATCTGACTCTGTCTACAGGTATTTGGATCTGCCTGGGCAAAGTAACCCTTCTAACACACCACCAGGCTGTCGGTCTGATGGTGGTTTGTGTATGTGTGTGCGTGCGTCAGTGTGATATTCTAGTAAATTAGACCATCAATCAAAATCCAACAGGGGAAGCAGCAAGAGAAAAAAAAATCCTTGCAGTGAAACAAAGGCACTGGAGCAACATGTGGCATTATTTAACTGCCCATTCCGAAGCTTGTGTGTGTGTGTTTGTGTGTTGTCGTGTTATTGTGCTTGTGAAAAGTGCTGCGTGTTGTTTTACTCAGAGCTGTGGATTTTTTTTCACCTGTCATCATAATGCAAGGAGTCCATTCAGTAAAAATGATCAGAGTAACTTCTTTCTACAATCGCCCTAGCAGAAGCAGAAGTTTTCAATTAAATTAGTCTAATGGGATAAAGGCTAAAAATTGTGACTACAGAAAGAGAAGGAGGTCTGAAATACAGGAGAAACATCAAAAGTAGAGTTAGATGAGAATGAAGGTTGAAGTCTATAGAAGGCTTCAGTTAGCGGGAAACCTTTCTGAGATAATTGCTCTGCAAAATAATGTCCAGAAAGCTGTTAACATGGGTGGAGAGTACTTCATTTGCAGAGCTGAAGTGGCCACTTGGACAGAGATCATTTAAAAATGAAAAATATAAAATCATATAAAAGCATATAGTACAGTGGAGTACAGTGAGACAGAGCGACAGTTGGAGTAGCTGGACCTAAACAAGGATTTATGTCGGACAAGAGTGTTGAAATGTACAAAGGAAATTGGGTTCAAGTTGAGAGAAGAATAGAACCAGTTGGTCCAGAATGATAACTTGAGGGTTAGGGTTAGGACTAAAGTTTGAGTAGTTGGATGACATAAAAGAATGGATGTACTGGTCAGGGATTTCCCCATTTTACCCAGAAATGCTTCAGATGTGGTCCATTGTCAGTACACATAATTATGTGTGTGTGTGTGTGTGTGTGCGTAGCATGGAGATGTTGTGATAGTCCCCTTTAAATGATGGCTTTCCTTTTTCTTATTTAGTCTCTCTCTCTCACACACACACACACACACACACACACTCAGTGAGGAAGTGTGTACACAGTGTATAGTGAGATAATAGCTTTGCAGGGGCCAGGGTTGAGCTTAGCCAAAGATCTGTCTGGCTAAAGGATCCATGAAACCACACACACTTACGCACACAATCACACACAAGGACATGCTTCATCACTGACTTACACAAAACACAAAATTAGGCTCACAGACACCTACACAAGTACATAGCCTCTAGACACACACAGACGCCAGGGCACACACACACACACACACACACACACACACACAGCTTTGTAGCGTGTCCCATTAATGTGCCATTAGATATCAGACCATTTAAATTGATGAGGCCCAGTGTGAAGAGAGGTCCAAGCTTTCCAGCAATTATTCTCTAATCTATCCATCGCTGTGATGGCAGGAGAGAGGGGAAGAAGTGGAGGGGCATGGAGAAGAGGAGAGGAACATACGTGAGAACGAAGAGGACGGATGAGAGGCAGGAACTCTGAGGGTTTTGACGATGGAAGACGAAACTGTTCCAGAACAATCTCACACCATTTTCTTTTCACTCATTGAAATTAGTGGATTTACTCTCCAAGGCAAAGTTCATTTGCGTCACGCTTTCTTTTGATTCTGATTCGCTGAGCTGACGTATAAATCGAAGCCATCTTGACCGTGCTGATATCTGTGAATGGAGAGGTCTGAAGCTGTCGCTCTGTGAGTTCAAAGTTGCATTTAAGTAAATAAGATTTTTTGCATCCTTTGCGTTGGCGTACTGACAAAAGCACCATATGCAAAAGTGGCTCTTTGTTATTGTTAATCATTAAAGTGATTCTAAAGGTTAACGTCTTCATTATATGAACGTGTGAGAGAGGCGTGGTGAGCGGAGAGCAAATTCTGTGTGACAGCATGATACTAATGTGCCTTCTTGGCTCTTTGTGTGTGTTTGTGTGTGTGTGTGTGTGTGTCTGCGAGTGTGTGAGCAGTGAAGCGTGAAGCTGTTACTCTGGTCACCGGCTCGGTCCTGCTCCACAGAATGATGCTAATTAATAGCACACAGTCTCTCAGCTAAAACACAGGGATCGGGTGAGATAAGATAAGTACAGAGGAAAACAATAATAATAATAGGAAGGAAAAGAGGAATAAATGAGGCGCAATGACAGGAAGAGAAAGAGAGGAAGTTTGAAGGAGTAAAAGCAGAGACAATGAGATGGACAGTTGGAAGGGGCACATGAGGGATGGCAGGAGAAAGAGCGAGGGAAGAAAAAAGAGAGGGAAAGGATGGCAGCGGTTATGTGGTGTGAGAAGCTCGGCAGCAGCCAACTCCGCTCACTACACTAATGCTTAATGTCACATTTTTTAAAGCTCGCTGCATGATTTTGGTTTTTTTGCTTTATTCACTAAAATAAAGTTGAGACTTTGGGTGAAAATGCCGAAGAAGAGGATCATGAATCAAAAAGGTCCTGAGGAAGATTTCAAACCCCCAACCTCAAAAGTTAATGACATGCATCTTATCCCGATGAGCCCAAACAAAGCCGTCCGAGAGCGGTTTCATGCACACATAAGCAGCGGTTTGTCTCAGGGAAAAAACAGAAGATGATCGCTTCTTCGTTTTGAGTGTTTCAGTGTGTTGTTTTTGTCGTGGTACGATTTCTTGAACTCTTCAAAGACAGAACGTTTCCAATCAACCACTTATTTTTTTCCTCTAAACATGTCTTATAACATCATGGAGGGGATTCCTACTTACTATCTGTCAGGGATATTTTAGATAAAATCTTGTTTACTATATTTAAAATCTCGTGGATACATTTTGGATTTGTTCATATTGTTTGATTAAATCTTGCTGTGTATTTAAAAAATAATAAGACCCAACACACCTCTTAATTTCAGTCACGCTACACCAAACTTCACACATTGATAGTCATTGGTTCCTTAAATATGTCCGTTTTTTTCATCGAGATCCATAAATGATTCCCTGGGAAATCAGTAAAAAATTAATCACACAATGTAAAAGTTTAAACACGTTTAAACAAACATAGAAACCAACCAAAAAACGAACTGGGGTGAAAGCATAACGTCCTTTACAGAGATAATAAAAAGAAATAGATCCAACTGAAGTCCAATTAAATTCAGAGGGTAAAAAAAAAAATGTTATGTTGATTTTCTTTCTGGAGATGGGATCCAACAGGAAGTGGTCTGGCTTTAGCAGAGGGAGTCTCTGATGTGAACGCTAAATTTTCTGTTGAGAGATGAAAAAATAGTTGATCCGTTTAGAAAATCAATGATCCATGTGTACCAGTAAATGTTGTACTGTGTACTTATGCCAACTTACAGCACCACTGTGTCAGCAGATGGTATTTTCCCAGAATTCTGTGGATAATGCCCCTTCATCGTTCTCTTTCAGAGACTCTTCCCATCATCTGTCATTGGTAAAGAAATGCACATTCATGGTAGATTGGCCTCATGAGCTACTTGTCTCTTAAATCATAAAAAACGAAATCATTCATGTGTGTAACAGAAAGTCCTAAACGTCTGACTGACTCCATGGTTTATCAAGCTAAACAGCAGGTGACCAGAGACACATGTGAACTGAAGGACCACCAACAGGAGGAGGAACAGTAAAAGGAATTAAACCATAACTGGATTGTTGTTTGTAAACCAGACTGACTTTGTATGTGTGTGGTTGTGTTTTTGTTTTGTGACTCCTGACTGGCCAGATGTGACAGAGAGGAAATCAAATGATCATGTGAGGATTCACATCAGTTCTGGATCACGTCAAGAGAATAAATCAGCTCATCTGTTTTTCATATTTATGCCGGCGTGTCCAGGGGCAACTACGAGATTGTGCCACCATGAATTATGGGGCGGCATTTTCTCCTTTGCTTTCATAAAGGATGAATCGATGTTTCCTATGCTGAAGGAGATAACTTGGGGAATTTAGAGAATTCAAATATGTCATTTCACTCGGTCAGGAAGGTTCACAAGCAAAATGCACGATTGGAGCGCGGCCATGTTCCTTAACTAGTGCAGCAGGTGAGGGAGGGTCCCATGAGGAGAGGGTGTGGAGGTGGGTGGAGACTGAAGCTGTGGTCACACCTATGGGTCACACCCAGTCAGCAGCGGGCACTGACAGACAGGAGACACAGGAAACACGCCACCACATGGACAGACTGAGAAACTCCCAGCAGATCAATGAAGTGAGAATAATCAAGTGTCCAGTGTTAAATGTCAACGAGTGAGAGAAGCAGTCTGTGGATCTGACTTCAAATTCATCCTGAACTTTTCAGACAAGAGCAGACGAGGTAAGAAAAGGTGACATTTTACATTTCTGACACTTGCATTTAGAAACAATTAAAAACATCAGGTCACAGGTGTGTTACCTACTTGACCTCAATTGTGTCTTTGCTTTGAAAGTTAAACATCATTATTTCCAGATTTCAGGTTAGCTGTGTTCTCAACAGAGCAGAGTTAGCCTTGTTAGCTTTTTACAAGCTAGTGTAGCCTTCAGTCAGCTAATGAAGTGGAGAACTAAACATTTTCAAAAGAACCGCTCTCACCAAACATGTTTTTAGCTAATGATGGAGAAAAGCAACACTAAAGTGCTGAGCCTGCTGCTACATGTTAGCTGCAGGCTCTTGTTAGCTTAGCAAACCTGGAGTGTGTACTCCAGAAACATCCTGTAAATGGATATTATCATGTTGTTTTGGGTTTTAATGAAGTTTAAATGGGACGTTTACCCATAGTTCAGTTCTTTTTCTACATTTAACACATTAGTATTCACTGCTCTGTTTTGTTCCATGTATAGGATATATAGACATCCTTAGGTTTGCCATGCTAATTGGTCCTTGATAGGCTGTGTGTGTGTGTGTGTGTGTGTGTGTTGATTTTTTTAAAGAAATATAATTCTACAGTTTATTATTTTATAGAGTCTTGTTGTGATTATATGATATGAGACATGGTGGGTGACATAAGTGGATTTGTGTTTTTTATACTGTTCGATTCAGATCAGTCAAATCACTTCAGTTGATGATGTCACATTTTGAGCTTTGGATTCCAGATAAAATCAATCAACCAATCAACTCACATATGCAGGAGAAACATTTCTCAGCAGAAACAGACTCTATTACCGTTAGTAGACGACAGCTGCGCGAGCATCTTCTCTCTGCAACGTCCGTAAACCGCGACAGACAACCGTCAGTAGACCGACACTTCACGGCTAAACTACTTTACCACAAATTTTTTACACTGGATCACCTGCGTTCATCCGACGTGAACAGGATCAACTGCTCAGGAGGCAAAGTAAGTTTTGTTCTAAACAGTCCAGACTTCAGGTTCAACAGTTTTTTAGTTGTATACCTCTTTAAAACACAATTTCTTTTATTTCTTCATCTTACTTTACAATAGTTTTACAGACTTTAAAAGCAGACGTGTGTAAATGACTACAATTCATTCAGCTTTGTCTCTTTGAATATATCTGAAGTCAGGATGGGACTGTGTTTTAACTGTTATATGTATATTTGTGTATTTCAGTCACTTGGAAAAATGCAGTCTAATGATGCTGCCCAAAAAAACGGGTGCAGTGTCCCCAAAATGCTGCAGGCCTTCTGCCGAGCCCTTCTGGAGTCAAAGAGGGGGAACAAGCAGCTGGCTGCTCTCAGACGACAATGTTACAAGAGAACGCAGCTATGAAGCAGCAGGTGGCAGAGAAAGCTGCTCTGCAAAGGAAGGCTGCAAAGTACGAAGAGAGAGCTGCAGTATACAGTGTTCTGAGGAGGGAGGTGGATGATCACAATGACTGCTGAAAACACTGCTGTGGCAAAAGAAAACACAGCTCTAAAGCAGCAAGCTGCACAAAACACTGCTCTTAGTCGAAGTTGTCGGCCAAACAGGAGCAAGTAAAACTCCTGAACCTGCAGAATATTGAGCTTCAGGTACGTTACATCAGAACATTTTAGATTTTAATTATATGGATTGTAGGTTTGTTTCATGTTTAGACCTAGAAAAAGAAAATGCTGAAACTTCTGTTCTCTCTGTCTTTTGAGGAACTCCCCATGATGACCGACTCGTACAAGGAGAAGGTCAAAAAGGAGAAGAAAGAGAAGTAGAAGCAGGAAAAGAAAGAGCAACTAGAGAAAGAGAAGGAGGGGAAAGAACTGAAGAAGACCAAGAAGAAGGAGAAAGAAGGGACAGAGAGGAGGAATGTGTTCCCCTTTTTTCTCTTTAACTGCCAGTGCTCATCCTAATCTCCTCTCACATCCCTCCTCTCCCTCAACCATTCCCTCATCCTGACTCCCTCAACTCATTACACCTTAACCCCTCCCCTCCATCCTCCCGTCCTTACCCTCCTCTCTCTCCGCACTCCCTGTATTATATATTTCTTGGAAAATAAAAAATTAATAACAATGACTTTTTATCCCAGTTTACTGTTTTATTCCAGATTTTGGTTAGTATTCATCAATCTCAATGATGCAAACTAAACATGCATATGTAAATAATCACATATAATAGAAGTTATATATGAATGCTGCATGTTGAAATGTAATGATGCCAAATATCTTAAACCAGAGTAGAGCTCAAACCTCCATCAAGGCCCAACAGTCTCCTTATGAAACCAAAAATCAGTGAACTGACTGTGAAGAATAATTCCTGGATCCATGCCCAGATCCAGATTTTCACCAAAGTTGAATGCTTCTTCCTTGACCCACTGTCCTTCCACCAAGTTTCATGGAAATCCGTCCAATAGTTTTTGTGTAATGCTGCAAACTATGGCTGCGTCAGAAAAACTGATACAAGTCGGATGCATGTGACCTTGAAGTTACTCTAGAGCAACTGGCATTCATGTAGTCATTGTGTCTAATACATACTTGGTAAATGTTGTAATGATACCTGTGTAATTGTAGATTATACTCTGACTCACTGGATGTAGTCTGCAGGGATTCAAGCTGTTGGCCGCATGTTCCTCATTTCTACTATCTGCATGTTATCATTTTCAAAATCCCCAAACAATAACCTCTGAGCTATCGACCTACTAGTTGTAAATGGTGAGCTTTGGCAAAGACGTTGCGGGAATTAGTTATTTATTATAAAAATTATTAATCTGTTCTGCATCCTGGACTTGGCACTGCCCAAGATGATTGTCTAAAGAAATACAACAAGCCAGATCAGCAGAATGATATTGCAGCCAGACAACACAGTGGAGATGGGTTCTCACTGTGAAAGACTATATTTCAATCTTGCATAAGTACTATTTGTCAATAGTCTTCTATATATTATACTACTTGAGAGAGTTTGAAAGTGGTGAGTGTACTGTATTTTGTAATAGCCCATCTGGGTTGTCCCAAAAGTCAACATGAGAATTATTTTTCTGACTGCTTGTTCTTCACAACTGCCTTGCACATGGGATCTTAATAATCATGACAAGATCCAAGTGCAAGTGGCCATGGCTGCTCTCTCCTGTGCCTCCCCTGGGCACAGTCAGCTGGGAGGAAACCTCGGGGCAGACTGAGGAAGCCCTGGAGGGATTTGAATTTCCCTTTTTCCAGAGGGCACCTGGGGATCCCCCAAGAGGAGTGAGCTGATGGGGAAAAGAACTGTGCTGCCGCCGCCATGGTTCTGACATCAAATATCTGAAAATAGTTTTAAAGCAGCTTTGTTTTCCTTTGTTGCTTCAATAGCAAACGGATCTGGCTTCAATATGCCAACGTCTCATGAAAGAGAAATACAGATTAAACAATTCAGGGGTGGGATTGCATAAGTAAAGAAGTACATGGGGATTAAGAAACGTCTTTTCTCTAAAGCTTTGTACTGACATTCACACGCGCGTATGATTAAATTAAACACTGCTCATCCTGCGAATGTGATCCACAAACAAAACACTTATTGCGTGATTGAGAGAGTAACATTTAAACGACTGATGTCAGGCAGTTCAGTCTGGAGACCTGAACTTAGTCTGTGATAACTAATGGCTTCTCATCAGCAACTGTGTGATCTGCTGCCATTAACACCAGACGACTGGCAACTCGTGACAGCGCTGGCTTACCATAAATGGAGCGGTATCAGGCCTCTTTCACATGAAGATGGAAACAAAACGTTCAAGTATTCAGGATTGTGTTTTGTGAGCATTCCAATAAATTTGATTAGGACAGCATTTACTCCATAAACAATTAAATATCCAGAAGTCTGTTCTTGTTGGCTCTCCAGATGACAATAAAACCTTTGTTTATAATTAGCCTGAGTCCCAGGACGACACTGAAGTGATGCAGACTGCAGAGGCAGTAGCTTTATAAAATGTTTTCATGTTTGCAAAAAAGTTGAGTAAACGTGGAGGAGACTCACGTTTGTTGTATAACTGAATAAAATGCTGAGTCTCTGCTGTGTTCAGTTTATGGAAGTCTTCCCTCTGACCAATAGAGGGCAGTGGTTACAATGCAACATGCAGAGGAGCATCCAGCATCTGCACTCAAGGTCTTTTTACTTCACTGCTGTTGTGAGTTCACTCCACAGGGAACATTATGGTTGCAGAATAAATGGGAAATTTAACTGAATAAGTTGTTCTACTTAAGGAACATTTTGTGTGAAAGTTTGTTAAGTTGGATCAGTTGTTTTAAAGTTTTGCTTCTGTCAGTTTGGTGTTGGATCTACTCAGAATGAACTTTAAGGTATTTGCCACAAGAACCAATGTTTATATATAGATATATATTGAATTTAGATACACCCTGATTGATTTCTTGGCCATTGCAGTGTTAATCAATAAACTGGACACACACAGAGACTCCCCAGGGATGATGGATTAAGGTTATTTGGAAAGATGGCTCCAAACAAAGTATGTGATCACAAAGTAGATCATAAAAATGATAGATGGGCCTGCATGGTAAAATAAGATGAGTCGCTGGGAAAATAAGCTACAAAATATGTACACTGCTGGATGAGAGTTTGGAGATTTATTCTTGTGTGTGGGAAAGTATCAGAGTTTATACACAAGAGTGTCTCTGCTGGGAAGATAAGGGACAAGTGAAAGTTAGTGGAGCTGGCTTACTCTGCTTTCTGGTGACATCAACAGAGAGAGAGAGGGAGGGAGAGACAGGGAGGTTTTTGGAGGGGAAACCAAAGTACAGATCTGCCTCTCTCACAACCTCCTGGCGCACCAGTCTCTCTCTGTTGCGCCTCTGCTCTCTCAACTTTTTTTCTTCTCTGATCACAGCTCCTCTAAAACTTACACTTTTTTCAGTCCCCCGGCAGCGGAGGGATGTTCCCGGGGAAGAGGTTCCACCCCAGCTGAGCGTTTTCACCTTGGGAAGTTCAGGAGTCAGCCGGATAACTTCTTGTGAATGGGGAGGCATTTGACTTTTTACGCATCCAGCTCAGTGACGCACGCACGGTTAAATATTTTAAAAAGGAAATCTGTGCAAGTGTCACATCCACAAATTCAAGTTTTCTTTCTCTTCTTCAATGGCAAGGCAGCGTTTTAAGGAGATTCTTGCTGATCGAGTCTTTTCAGAGAAACTTTGGTGAACTTTTGTTTTGCAGCAGCGGACTTAATTATATTTCGGCTTACATCACTTCTTTTTTAAAATCCTACCACACAGTCCAGTGGCCTCTCTTGACCTTTATTCGGGATCCCTACTCCCCTCCTCGGATATTCAATTCATCTTCGCTTTGGGAGTAATTTCTGTGGATACCATGCCTCCGACCGGAGCGGTGAGGCGGGCTGCGCTCTGCCGGGTTTGGGCTCTGGTTGTCGCGCTGCTGGTGTGCGTGGGCTCGGTGAGTGGGTGCCCTCACAAGTGCAGCTGCTCTGGGTCGCATGTGGACTGCCAGGGTCTGGGTTTGAAGACTGTGCCCAAAGGAGTACCGAGGAATGCTGAGCGCCTGTAAGTGACAGTATCTCTATTAAACACCTCACAGACATGCGTGGGACCCTGAGATGCGTCTTCTCTCCTGTGCAGCAGCTCACACGTGTAAAATTCAAGATTCATTTCTGGGCAGAGGTTGATTTTCAGAGGTGCTTGTGATGGAAGCTTGAAATCATTCATTATAGTGAGTTGAACTGCATCTAAAGTAATTTGAGTAAGTGTCCGTAGAAACGTGCGCTTTTTAAAAGCTGATTCACCTGCGCACAGATGCACAGTTTTGTTGGAAATGAGTCGTAATCATGGACCATTTACTGCCTGATTAAAAGTGAAGGACATTTCAACCCAGACCTGCAGGCTGTGATCGTTACTTGCAAACATTCCATTTTATTTGCAGAACAACATTCATTCGTTGTGCTATAGTTTGTCCCAGTAGTTAACTTGGGCTTAAGTCGGTTCACACAGTTTAGAAAGTTTTTTCATTTGTTTTGCTGTTAAATGAGGTGGGTGTCTTCACGTGTACAGGCATTTAAGCCCAGTGAGGCTCAGTGAATTGGAGGATAATGCATTATTACTTATGGAAACAAAGAGTAACTTTCGGGAAGTCTCATATCTGAGAGCATATACTGCAGCTTCTTGGCTTGTGATAGCTGGTGGCATGAAACTGCCCTGAAATTCACCAGTGACATCAATGAATGGAGGCAGTTAAGACAACAGACCTGTAGCAGACTTTTGAACTTTTAGAATGTTGAGGTCACAGTGAAATGCAAGAAGAGTCAGCAAACTCTTTGAATCTTTATATTCTCACGTTTGCAGTTTTCACAGGTTCCTAAAGTTTGATCCTCAGAGACTAAAATCCTCCAGGTCTTTCAGTTTTCTTTAACCTGATGACTGTTAGTTTTAAATAATATTCATTCCTAAGGCAGAGACAGACCTTTGACAGACGTTGTTGTCAGCTCTGGCCCAATCTTGAAACACATATGTCCCTGCAGCCACACACACACACACACACACACCTATGCTGTTACGGTATGGAAGTGATTATGCATGATAATGGAGCAGCCAAAAGCCCTGCAGGGGATCAACAACAGACCTAGCCCTGAGACAACAAACACAATCAGTAGGCTGGAAGTGGGGGGCTGTATTTGTGGATGTGTGTGTGTGAATGTGGAGGCATCGGTGGAGATGAACTTTTGATTTACATGTGTGCATGCATTTTCCCTGGCCCATGTGTTTGTTTACACCTTTATGTTTGTATTTTTGTGTCTGTATGTTGATGCTTGCGAGCATGATTGTGTGTTTTTACGTGTGTAAGTGTGAGTGTGAACAACAAACACTGTCCCACCAGGCTGTTGTGACCTCCCAGGACCTGTTGGCTTTGACACAGCAATCCCCAGAAGACATTCACACCTAAGGAAAATAAATAATTAGAGCGGGCTGTAATGGGGAGGTGGGATAAGGGGGTCCCCTGCTTCTATCGGGGGTCCCCTGGGTGGAATATTTGGGGTAGCAACGCCCCTCCTACCGCCTTCACTAGAAACTATGTGTTTATGTTTCCCTGATTTATCCAGGTCAGTGTTTCAGCTGTGACTTTGGACAAGAGTTGCTCTTTTCCTCCTCCTTTCTCTCTGTCTCTCAGTCTGCTTTCATCTCTTGCTTTCTCTCTGTAGATATATTTTTGGAAGTCTGAGATGGGAAACATTAAAATGGATGAGATTCCAGTTGTAAAGGTTAGGGCAGATGGGAAACTTTTTAGGAAAGAGAGACATGAGCATTATTGCCATGAGGAGGGATTTGGGTTGGATGGCTGGAATGAAACCCATGTGGACAACAGATTCTAGGACCCAGAGTGCCAAGTTTGTTACTGTATGAGTCAAAAACAAAGTTGCATCAGAGTAGAGTGCCCGAAATCTTCCTGTTGACTGAGCTGATCTTTTCCTCTGTTCTTGATCTTTCAATGTCATCATTGGTTGATGGACCATATTTTTACACTTTAGAAAGCACAGTTATTGTGTTAAATTAAGTCTAAGCATTCAGAATATTCATCATTAACGGTTAATCTGACATTTGTTTTGACATTGTCAATGTCTGGGTGTAAGTGGATTGTTTCGTGCCAACACAAACTGGCGATGAAGCTTAAGTTAGCATCACAAATACATTAAAATGTACTGAATCTGTTATTTCAGAAGTTTCCTGGCAGCAGGATGTTCCTCCTGTTAAAAGGCAAAGCGATGTCGCAATGTTGAGGTAACTGGCTGGAGACTGGTATGCATCTGTTTGGCCTGTAAATCTGCATTTGGACCTAAAAGAATACTGTACTCCACTGAAATGCTGTGTTTTCAGCATCACATGCTCACACCTTCAGTGTTTGGAAAAATGGCTCCGAAAAGAAACTTTAACCAGTTTGGATGGATTCTATGGATGGCCCCGAAACATAGTGAAAAGAGAGTCAAATAAAAATGTCTTGAATCTTAAAATCACTATTGGACCATAATTATAACTTTGCGGTCAGTTTGTTTCCCAACACTCATATTGAGTATTACAAAGTACACGCAACTCCGTTTGCTGATGTTTATTGAGAATGGAAAACTGGGCAGGACATTGACGTGTTTCTCAGTTCTACAATGTTGCTGTTTATTTGTGTCTCATTTGGAAATATTCAGTTTCGCATGAGGGGAAATCCATAGAGACGAGGAGAAGGAGATACAGTTGTCTCAAAACACCAGAATCCAATGCAACAAGACGAAACAACACATGGTGTTTGAGTAAGGGAAAAGACTTTCACCTTATCTTTAATGGAAAATCTTTTTCTGCTACTATTCTGCTGCTCTCTTTATCAGTCTCGACCACATGTACCGAATCAAACTAAATTCAGACAGATTCTACGGAGGTTACTGAAACGGTAGAAAATCACCGTTAAGTGACTAAGTACATGACACCGGTCACAGGAAACCGGGTTCAGCTATAAAACAACTTCAGGATTTACTGCTGCAAAACAGTGAAAACTTATACATTGGTAGATTTTTCCTTTAAAGGAACAAATGGAAGGAAGTCACAAAGGAAAATGACTGGCACTATAAAACAAGGTCATTTAAACTTAAGGAGTAGTCTTTCTCCTTGCATTACTCTAAGTGTATAACTTGATTCCAGTTCACTTGTGCTACATTTGGAAGTGAAGAGTGAGTTTAATTTTCAGAGCCAGAGTCCACCTGTCATAACTGCAGAATGAATCCCTCTTTAAGCCCCGTTTTCTCCACTATTGTAAACAGAGCATTTGGTAAGGTTAATGAGAGAAAAACAGTGGTGGCCTCAACTGTTCACTCATCACACGCTCGCACACATACACACAGGCAGCCTCGCAGATTACCTCAGGCCAGTCAATTCTGTAATGTCCTCCTTGGGAAGCCACTTGAGACCTCATTTGCATCTAATTTGAGTGGAGGGTTTTTTGGAGGGGGGGGGGACTTAACAGACGAGGCTTGGTAAAATGAATTGGAAAACAGGGGCGGCTTTTCTCTCCTGGGTCCAATTCACACCTGCCCTACAGGGAATGCGCACACACACACACACACACACACACACACACACACACACACACACACACATGCACAACCTCAAATGTGGAATTTTTTTAAAGCTGCAAATTCCTAACTGTTGCCCCAGCTGCTATAAAATGTTGTGAAATGTAATACTTTGATCGTGTCTTATTCTGTTGGCTACTATGTGTGTTGATGTCTGTGTTTGTAGTTGAATGAGTTCACTATTGGAAGTAGCAAGCTTCCAGAGCCCACTTCACCCAAACTAACTCTGCCCTCTGTTCCTTCACTAACGCCATGTTGAGAGCGTTTTGGCAAGTTTCTTACGAGCAACACCTTCTCTTCTTTCTCGAGCCTCATCTGGCTTTTCCTCTCTTTTTCCTTTTGTTTCCTCTCACAAACTCCTCATACTTACCCCAACCTTTCTCTGTCCCTTCTCTTCCCTCAGTCTCTCCCCATTCTTTCTTTCTGCAGTCTTTTCCCTCTCTCTTTCCCTCTCTCCACCACTCATTGTCTGACCTCCAACTCTGTCTTCAACACACACACACAAACACCTCCAGTTTGCCAGCAGCATCTGTCCAATCAAGTTCCCATTTCCCCTCAGTGTGCCAACCTACACTGGTGCATACAACTGTAGGATCCTGCCACTGTGTGTGTGTGTTTGTGTGTATATGTGAACATTCTTCAGCGAGTGTGTGTTTCTGTGTGTAGAATGGACACACTCATCCTAGCGTCTGCTTCTGGCTCTTATCAAAGCTTGGTGTTGATTGGTCAATGGATGGTGTAACCACCACACCCTCAGCTCTGAAATGGCATTCCATGGTGGAACTGGACTGTGTGTGTGTGTGTGCGTGTGTGTGCGCGCTAACTCTTTGGGGTATTTTTCAGTATAAACACTGACCTTTTTTGACCAGTAGTCCTCACGGGGTCTGGAGCCTCGTCCTAATGAGGAAACACGTCATTTCTGAGGTCTTGGTTAAGGTTGGGGGTAAGGATAGGGTCAGGCTGTCTGCAATGAATGGAAGTCAATGCAATGCCCTAACAAGGGTAGCTGTGTGTGTGTTTATGTCTTTGTGATCTTTGAATACTGCGTTGCTAACCTGTGCTTGTCGCAGACCAGCTAATTTGTGCTGACATAGTTCCCGTCCCCTAAATTTAGTATAATTTGACTGGATCAAGAACAATCTGTAATCACTGAAGAACTCTGTGTTTGCTTCAGTTTTGGCTCAGCTCCTTTCAGTTGTGGCCTGAGCATTTGCATGAAGTCATCACAAGTAGTATTCTGTTATATGAGCCCAAATTAGGGCCAATAAGCTTTTAAACTTGTTATGTGATGTTCACAAATAAAAGCCTTTGTAAACCATTTGCAATAAATCTGCACAAAGTTTGCACATGTGTAGTAAAGATTTGAAAAAAGTGTGCATGAATAAAAAAAGATTTTCATTTGTACAATAAACCCGTGATTTGACTGTCATTGCCCTGTCA